CGCCACCAGGCTGCGTATTCACAACAACATGTATATACTGTACAGTATAGATAATTGGCTGAATCAGACCATCCAAAACAAATCATCTGAATATTCGGACAAAAAAAAAAAAACCGCCCATCTGAAAGTCAAACGAAACGTTTTTTTTTTTTTTTTTTTTTTTTTTTTCCAGACAGGCCTAAATCCTAGCAAGAGCCCTAACAGAAACGCTGATGATCACCAGACTGAAGTGCCTTGGTGAATATATCAGCAGTGTTGGCCCGAGTGACCACGTAAGCAAGACGAAGCTGACCACGCTGCTGCAACTCTCGAGCAAAGAAGTAACGCAGAGCGATGTGCTTCGTTCTGTGCTCCTGATACAAGGCAATAATGGCCTTGTTGTCTACGCACAGAACTGGAGAAGAACGATGCCGCTCTCCCAAGTCGGTCAGCAGGTAGGTGAGCCAGCGTAACTCCTGTGCAGCCATGGCTCCTTCGTAGATCTCAGCCTCACAACTGGAACTGAGAACAGAAGACGAGCGGGTAGACCGCCAAGAAACAGAGCCAAAGCCAAGGCTGAAAGTGTAACCATGTGACGACCACTGCGTAGCCCAAGAAGCGTCTGCGTGTCCAGTGAGGACAACTGGACCCCGTCCTCCAAGCACGAGCCCCATGCCCGATGTACTGCACAAGTAGTGCAACACCCTCTTAGCGGCCTCCCAGTGCTCTGGTCGGCGTCTCCCGGGCGCAACGTAACGTGCCAGGATGCTAAGAGGGTAGGCAAGGTCAGGTCGAGTGCGGGTCATCAGGTACATGAGGCAGCCCACAAGCTCTGGATACGGGCCACTCGGCTCTACGGACTCGTCCAAAGGTGGAGCTGAGAGGGGGTGACCGGTAGGCAGAGGAGTGGACTGTGGCGAGGAGTACCGGAAGCCGAAGCGCTAAAGGACCTGGTCCACCATGTGTGACTGAGTCAGGGTGATGGTGCGCCGTGCTCTGTCCCGGGTGATTTGCAAGCCAAGGCAGCTCACCCAGGTCAGTGCAGGTGTGTCTCTTCTGCAGCTCCGACTTCACAAGGGCCATTGCCTCAGTGTCAGCAGTGGCAAAAACCAAGTCGTCGACGTACACGAGGACGTAGAATGGCGGCAGCGAAGTGTCGGTGCGCAGAAACAGCGACGGGTCAGCAGTCGAAGGAGCAAACCCAAGAGCCGCAAGCGTCTTCCTAAGTGTGTCGTGCCACTCGCGAGGCGCCTGGCGGAAACTGTAGACTGGCCGCCGGAGGCTCCACTGGGTACCTGCAGGAAACGATCCAGTGAAGCCAGGTGGGCGGCACAGCCAGATCTCCTCGTGCAGATTGCCCTATAAGAAGGCTGTGCTGAAGTCAAGAGAGTGCAGCTCGTAGTCACGCTGAGCGGCGACGTGCAGCAGAAGAGTGGTCATCTTCGGGGTAGGGGAGAAGGTCTGGAAGAAGTCAACTCCCTGTCGCGGACTAAAGCCTCGTGCAACGTAACGAGCCTTGAAGACAGGCGGAGAACCTGGCGGCTGCTTCACCTTGAAAATCCACATGCCATCGACTATGTTCGCCCCAGGAGGGGGAACTGCGTCGACGTAGATGCCTGTGGACTTCCAGGATGCCATCTCTGCGTCCATGGCTATCTGCCACTGAGAGGAGTAGGGACCCGTAATCGCCTCTGCGTAAGAGCGCGGGGTCGGGATGTCTGGTGCATCCGGGTCTCCCTCACGTGCAAGCAGCATGGCCACGAGATGGGGTACAGCAGCTGCAAGACACTCAAAGTCCTCCTGCCTGTCCTCAAGGACGTCCGTGCCAAGAGCACACTCACCCCCGACGGACGGAGGACAGTCAGACTCAGACTCAGCAACAAGACTAGTGGCGTAGTTGAGACGACACGCGACAGCAAAGTCAACAAGCTCAACAACTAGGGCAGACGCAGCAGCGGACTCAAACGAAGGGTCAGTGACAATATTGGCTAGAAGACGAGAGACAGTAGGACTGGCTACACCAGCTAAGTCAGACTCAGGGTCAGGAACGTCAGAAAGAGAGGACGCAGGAGGAGACGGCAGGGGAACTTGCAGTGGAGCAGAGGAAGGACGAAGTGCCATAATGTGAGTGCCGAGGACAGGAGGAGGACGAGGACGAGGAACACGATGACCAGTGCAAACAGCGCGAACGGGCGAGGCAGGACGAGACTCAGGCTCACGACGCTCTGCAAAAGAGTATGTCTGCTTAACGTAAGGAGAAGGAGCAGGCAGTGGGGAGTCTGGTTTTAACTGTGGCTGCGACTGGTGAGGCGGTGGACTCAGTAAGCTAGGAGGAAGGCCAGTAGAAGACGGGAGACTAAGAACCTATCGAAGGATCGAGTCAGGTGGCGGTAGAGACGACCGCGGCGGCAGAACGAAGAACAGGCGCCGCTGCACAGTGCCTCCAGCACTAGGACCGCTAGCTCCAGCACCCCCAGCGCCAGCACCTCCAGCTCCAGGGTCTCCAGCTCTAGTGCCTCCAGCTCCAGCGCCTCCAGCGCCAGTGCCTCCAGCACCATGGTCTCCAACTCCAGCTCCTCCAACTCCAGCGCCTCTAGCGCCAGTGCCTCCAGCGCCAGCACCTCCAGATCCAGGGTCTCCAAGAATACATTGAACGAGAATGAGTGCATTGAACTGAAATTTTGTACAAGTACTAACCCTAATTGGGTTGTACCCCTTATGGGCTACCCCACTATAGCCTACACAATGTAAGCATTATAACATTTTGACAGCTAATACTCTATACTGGCTACCTCGTTATGTTTTCTATCCAAAAAACCGTAAAATACACTTCGTTTAGAAAACATTTTACAACTACATTTTGTCAGAGGTCCATTGGTGATCCCCGGTTGATCCTAGGGACGGGTTACAGGCTCGTTGTCCTGGGGGGTTATGGGCGCACTGACCCGCTACTAAACAAGCCCTTTTATCCCAGTGGTCTAGTGACTGGGATTCTGACATGGTATCAGAGCGAAGGTCTCGGGTTCGAATCCCAGTGTGTGCACTTCAGGCATCCCAGTGCGGGGGGGTGTCAGAGGTGCACTGGTGATCCCTGTTGGTGCAACCCTACGGTTTGCACTCGGCTTGTTGTCCGTGTGCGTGAATGTGTGTGTGTATGGAATGGTATGAGGGCATGGGATAAGATATATTTCATGCTTATAATTGTGTGTGAATGTTGAGTCATGATGTCGAGTGTGTGTGTCGAGTCAATAGCGAGTTATCGCTAGACGCGTGTTACGCGGTCGTTTGTGTCTCGCGCGCGGTTTCTATTTTGTCGTGCGCGGTTTCTATTTTGTCCTGTGTCGAACGTTCGGCGTGTCGCAGGTGTGTGCAGCAGACCCATCAAGAACTCAAGGATGAGTTTGTGATGAAGAGCCCAGCCTTGGTCTCAAGCCTCAAGTGATTTCGAAGCTCGCCAAAAGGGTACACCTCAAGATATTGAAGATAGTTACATTACTTTGTGTAGTGTTACATTTCACTTGGTGTAGGCCCTAGTGAAGGGTAGTTTCGAGACCCTTCGTGGTTGGGGACAGTGTGGCACTGTTCCACATCACTGTACCTCGGCTCTTGGGGTTTGTAGGAGCTGGGAGTCATTCCCAACTCGTAACTCTTCCTATCTTGTGTTCTAAGACTATAGTGGCTGCCATAGTACCGTTCGTTCAAACCGACGCCGTGTCGTCAATTCTTTATCAAATCGTGCAGTCTAAATTGCTAATTTTAGACGACGTGAAGACGCTCCAGATCCAATTTGAATCAAGTCATTTGCAGCTGTGAGCAGAACGCTATCAACGTTTGAAGCCGCTGTGCAGAAATCCGTCTGTGCTCTCTATCTTTCGTTTTAGGCACATTCAAGCCTATTGTGACTATAACAAGTGGTATCAGAGCCCCTTGGAGCAGTTTCGACAATGTCTGGACCTGAGGAAAGGGGTGGCAGAGGTGCTGGTGGCAGTGGAGAAGCTCAAGCTCAAGGCCAACCCCGTGATTCAGCCATGGCGCCCATGCAACCAAGTCTTGGCCCACCTAGGGATGAGCCTAGGGTGTTTGGGCTTGACAAGTTCAACGGTGACAACTTTGCTGAATGGTCCTTCAAGATGGAGAACATCTTTGACCACTATGACCTGCTGGAGGTGATGGAAGGAACGGAGAAGCGCCCCGAGAACGACCCGGAGAAGAGCCCGTGGGTGCGGAAGAGCGCACAAGGCTATCTCTTACTTGGGCAAGCGTTGGGGAGCAGTCAGATCCGTCACATCAAGCCATTCCAGCGTGAACCAGAGAAAGGACCAAAGGCATGGGCTGCTCTCAAGGGTGTACATGCTCCTGCAACAGCGGCGGTAGCGGTGGTGTTGGAACGGCAAATGGCGGCACTACGAATTGAAGAAGACGAAGCGGTTGAAGAAGGGGTGCAGAAATTCTTCGACTTGTTGACGCGGCTTGAGGGAGCTGATTTGAACTACAGTGAGCTCCAAAAGAAGACCAAGTTGCTGGCCTTACTCCCAGAGTCATGGTCCTCGCTCATCATCAACCTTAATCGCGACTTGCCCCGCCTCTCGCTTGAAGACGTGAAGCGAGCTATCCTTCAAGAGGATTTCCGCCGCCGTGAGTTGGCGAGTGCGGATGGCGCTGGGGCAGCGAGCATCGGCCGTGGATATGGTCGAGGAAGAGGCAGAGGACGAGGGGGAGGAAGGTTTGGTGGCAGCAACTTCGGCGGAGGCCGCAGGAGTGGCGGTTACGGCAGCGACGACAAGAGCTACGGACTCGGTCGCGGCCGATTCGACGGCGAGTGTCACTATTGCCACAAGAGCGGACACATGTGGCGCGACTGCTACAAACTCCCTGATGGTTGGACCCCTGCTCAAGGCCAAGAGGGTAGAGGAGTAGGAGGAGGGAGAGGACGAGGCCGTGGAGGCCGTGGCGGTCGCGGTGGCGGAGCTGCAAACAAGAAGAGCGACGTGGCTGAAACGTTGAAGACGGATTGGTTCCCGATGGTGGAGCGGCAACAAGACCGTCTAGTCAAGTCAATCCGCACCGATCGAGGGGGAGAGTTCCTGAGCAAGGAGTTTGGGTTGTGGCTGAAGAAGAATGGTATTCGGCACTCCCTCACCATGCCATACTCCCCTGCAATGAACGGCATCGCCGAGCGAGCGAACCGCACAATCACGGAGGCGGCACGCGGGTTGCTCATTGAAGCCGGGCTACCCGACTATTTCTGGCCTGATGCGGTGCGGAGCGCGTGTGTGGCCAAGAACAGAGCCTTGACTCATGTGGGAGCAGACAAGTGGGTGCCCTATGTGGAGTGGCTAGGAAGGAAGCCAAAGGTGGATATGCTTCGGGTGTTCGGGTGCATGTGCATGGCGCTCGTGCCTAAGCATCTTCGGCACAACAAGCTTGGTGCCAAGGCGGTGTGGGCCGTGCACTTGGGCATGGCTCAAAACAGCAAGGGATGGCTTCTTTGGGACCCATTCACCAAGAAGTTCTTGGTGAGCAGGGACTGCAAGTTCATGGAGAACTTCATGTACAAGGATTGGAAGGCGGAGAATGAGGCGAAGATAGGCGTGCGGTTTGGGGAGGTGAAGAGTTCCGGTTTGGAGCATGTGGAGCTGCCTTTGGAGCTGAGCAGCGGCAGCACAACCACAAGGCAATCCTCCCTTGTGAATGGGGGAGAGGAGGCCAATGATGCAGAGGAAGAAGAGGAGGAGGTGCAGCAAGTGAGCGAGCGTGCACCGTCACTCCCTTCCCATACTACGAGTGCTCCACGGATTCGAGCCACACCGCAGCAACGCCAAGGCCTTCAAGTCCCTGCAGCTGAGGAGGAAGGAAGGGGGAAGAGGAGAGTTCAACCCCCTAATAGGCTGACCTATGATGCACTGGGAAAGCCAGCCAAGTCAGCCTTGGTCGGAGCGGCACTTATAGTTGGAGATGACAAGGAGAGTGACTACGAGGAGTGTGCCTTCGCGTTCTTCTCTCCGGTGGAGATGCCGGGGGAACCAGCAACTCTCAAGGAGGCCTTGGAGAGTAGTGATGCTGAGGAGTGGAAGAAGGCAATGGAGAGTGAGCTGAAGAGCATTGAGGAGAACGGCACGTGGGAATTGGTGGAGCTACCGGAGGGGCGTAAGGCGATTACGTCCAAGTGGCTCTTCAAGATCAAGTCCGACGCCGACGGCAAGATCGAGCGCTACAAGTCTAGGCTTGTGGCGAAGGGGTACCAGCAGAAAGAGAAGGTGGACTATAAGGAGTTGTATGCTCCTGTGGTGAAGCCGGCGACGCTGAGAACCCTACTCGCGGGAGCTGCCATCAAAGGATGGGTGGTGAAACAAATGGATGTCACAACGGCATTCCTCAACGGCGTCCTCGAGGAAGAGATTTTTATGGCGCAGCCAGAGGGGTTTGATGATGGTAGTGGCAGAGTTCTGATGCTGAAGAAGGCCCTTTATGGACTGAAGCAGGCCCCTAGGCAGTGGTACTTGAAGCTGCGAGGAGTTTTGGAGGAGATAGGCTTCACTCCTTCATCCGCTGATCATTCCTTGTTTTTGCTTGGCGAGGGGGAGCAAAGGAGTTTCATGGTGGTTTATGTGGATGAAATCCTCATTTTCTCACCCTCCTCTGACCTTGTGAAGGAGGTGATGCTGAAGCTTCAAGACAAGTTCAAGTGCAAGGCCCTTGGTGACGTGAGCTTCTACCTTGGGCTCCACATCGAACGAGATGTGGAGAAGCGGTGCATGCGGGTGCATCAACGAATGTACCTGGAGGCATTGGCTGCCAATTTTGGGCAGAGTGAAGGCCATGTGGCTACACCCTTTCCCTCTGGGTTCAAGTGTGTGAAGGGACCAGAGGAAGAGAGTGTTGGTGAAGAGGAGAGGCGCCGTTTTCACTCGTTGGTGGGCAGCCTCATGTACGCAGCGGTAAACACACGACCGGACGTCGCGTTTGCTACCGGACAGTTGGCTAGGGTTGTTCAATGCCCTAACGAGGAGCAGGTAGCAGCTGGAATGAGGGTGGCCAAGTATCTTGGCCAAACACCGACCGTTGGGCTACAATACTCGGCGGCGGCACAAAGGCGCCAAAAGGGCGCGGATGGTGTTGAACCCGGGCGTTTGTTCCTCACCGCATTCTCGGATGCTTCTTTTGCATCAGAACCAGAGGACATGACAAGTGTTGGAGGGTTCATTTGTTGTGTTGGTGGAGGCCCAACTGCTTGGGAGAGCAAGAAGCAGGTTGACCAATCTTTGAGCTCGGTGGAGTCCGAGTACATGGCACTCTTCCGTGCCGTACGGGAGATTGTGTGGCAGCGGCGTTTGTTGGCTGAATTGGGGAAGGAGCAGCAAGGACCTACCCCACTGTACTGTGACAGCCAGGGTGCCATTGCTCTTGCTAAGAACCCTGTGTTGCATGGACTCACGAAGCACATGAGGGTGAAGTGGCATTGGACGAGGAGCATGGTAACCGCGGGTGAAGTTGAGTTGCGCTACGTGAAGACCACGGGGCAGCCGGCTGACATGATGACCAAGAGGCTGGTGGAGCAGCAGCATTGGAAGTGTTGCAAGCTGGCTGGGATGGCTCTGAACTGAGAGAGCAACATATCCTAAGGCCAACAATCCGAGGGGGAGTTTGTTGGTGCAACCCTACGGTTTGCACTCGGCTTGTTGTCCGTGTGCGTGAATGTGTGTGTGTATGGAATGGTATGAGGGCATGGGATAATATATATTTCATGCTTATAATTGTGTGTGAATGTTGAGTCATGATGTCGAGTGTGTGTGTCGAGTCAATAGCGAGTTATCGCTAGACGCGTGTTACGCGGTCGTTTGTGTCTCGCGCGTGGTTTCTATTTTGTCGTGCGCGGTTTCTATTTTGTCCTGTGTCGAACGTTCGGCGTGTCGCAGGTGTGTGCAGCAGACCCATCAAGAACTCAAGGATGAGTTTGTGATGAAGAGCCCAGCCTTGGTCTCAAGCCTCAAGTGATTTCGAAGCTCGCCAAAAGGGTACACCTCAAGATATTGAAGATAGTTACATTACTTTGTGTAGTGTAACATTTCACTTGGTGTAGGCCCTAGTGAAGGGTAGTTTCGAGACCCTTCGTGGTTGGGGACAGTGTGGCACTGTTCCACATCACTGTACCTCGGCTCTTAGGGTTTGTAGGAGCTGGGAGTCATTCCCAACTCGTAACCCTTGCTAACTCTTCCTATCTTGTGTTCTAAGACTATAGTGGCTGCCATAGTACCGTTCGTTCAAACCGACGCCGTGTCGTCAATTCTTTATCAAATCGTGCAATCTAAATTGCTAATTTTAGAGACGTGAAGACGCTCCAGATCCAATTTGAATCAAGTCATTTGCAGCTGTGAGCAGAACGCTATCAACGTTTGAAGCCGCTGTGCAGAAATCCGTCTGTGCTCTCTATCTTTCGTTTTAGGCACATTCAAGCCTATTGTGACTATAACAAGTGGTATCAGAGCCCCTTGGAGCAGTTTCGACAATGTCTGGACCTGAGGAAAGGGGTGGCAGAGGTGCTGGTGGCAGTGGAGAAGCTCAAGCTCAAGGCCAACCCCGTGATTCAGCCATGGCGCCCATGCAACCAAGTCTTGGCCCACCTAGGGATGAGCCTAGGGTGTTTGGGCTTGACAAGTTCAACGGTGACAACTTTGCTGAATGGTCCTTCAAGATGGAGAACATCTTTGACCACTATGACCTGCTGGAGGTGATGGAAGGAACGGAGAAGCGCCCCGAGAACGACCCGGAGAAGAGCCCGTGGGTGCGGAAGAGCGCACAAGGCTATCTCTTACTTGGGCAAGCGTTGGGGAGCAGTCAGATCCGTCACATCAAGCCATTCCAGCGTGAACCAGAGAAAGGACCAAAGGCATGGGCTGCTCTCAAGGGTGTACATGCTCCTGCAACAGCGGCGGTAGCGGTGGTGTTGGAACGGCAAATGGCGGCACTACGAATTGAAGAAGACGAAGCGGTTGAAGAAGGGGTGCAGAAATTCTTCGACTTGTTGACGCGGCTTGAGGGAGCTGATTTGAACTACAGTGAGCTCCAAAAGAAGACCAAGTTGCTGGCCTTACTCCCAGAGTCATGGTCCTCGCTCATCATCAACCTTAATCGCGACTTGCCCCGCCTCTCGCTTGAAGACGTGAAGCGAGCTATCCTTCAAGAGGATTTCCGCCGCCGTGAGTTGGCGAGTGCGGATGGCGCTGGGGCAGCGAGCATCGGCCGTGGATATGGTCGAGGAAGAGGCAGAGGACGAGGGGGAGGAAGGTTTGGTGGCAGCAACTTCGGCGGAGGCCGCAGGAGTGGCGGTTACGGCAGCGACGACAAGAGCTACGGACTCGGTCGCGGCCGATTCGACGGCGAGTGTCACTATTGCCACAAGAGCGGACACATGTGGCGCGACTGCTACAAACTCCCTGATGGTTGGACCCCTGCTCAAGGCCAAGAGGGTAGAGGAGTAGGAGGAGGGAGAGGACGAGGCCGTGGAGGCCGTGGCGGTCGCGGTGGCGGAGCTGCAAACAAGAAGAGCGACGTGGCTGAAACGTTGAAGACGGATTGGTTCCCGATGGTGGAGCGGCAACAAGACCGTCTAGTCAAGTCAATCCGCACCGATCGAGGGGGAGAGTTCCTGAGCAAGGAGTTTGGGTTGTGGCTGAAGAAGAATGGTATTCGGCACTCCCTCACCATGCCATACTCCCCTGCAATGAACGGCATCGCCGAGCGAGCGAACCGCACAATCACGGAGGCGGCACGCGGGTTGCTCATTGAAGCCGGGCTACCCGACTATTTCTGGCCTGATGCGGTGCGGAGCGCGTGTGTGGCCAAGAACAGAGCCTTGACTCATGTGGGAGCAGACAAGTGGGTGCCCTATGTGGAGTGGCTAGGAAGGAAGCCAAAGGTGGATATGCTTCGGGTGTTCGGGTGCATGTGCATGGCGCTCGTGCCTAAGCATCTTCGGCACAACAAGCTTGGTGCCAAGGCGGTGTGGGCCGTGCACTTGGGCATGGCTCAAAACAGCAAGGGATGGCTTCTTTGGGACCCATTCACCAAGAAGTTCTTGGTGAGCAGGGACTGCAAGTTCATGGAGAACTTCATGTACAAGGATTGGAAGGCGGAGAATGAGGCGAAGATAGGCGTGCGGTTTGGGGAGGTGAAGAGTTCCGGTTTGGAGCATGTGGAGCTGCCTTTGGAGCTGAGCAGCGGCAGCACAACCACAAGGCAATCCTCCCTTGTGAATGGGGGAGAGGAGGCCAATGATGCAGAGGAAGAAGAGGAGGAGGTGCAGCAAGTGAGCGAGCGTGCACCGTCACTCCCTTCCCATACTACGAGTGCTCCACGGATTCGAGCCACACCGCAGCAACGCCAAGGCCTTCAAGTCCCTGCAGCTGAGGAGGAAGGAAGGGGGAAGATGAGAGTTCAACCCCCTAATAGGCTGACCTATGATGCACTGGGAAAGCCAGCCAAGTCAGCCTTGGTCGGAGCGGCACTTATAGTTGGAGATGACAAGGAGAGTGACTACGAGGAGTGTGCCTTCGCGTTCTTCTCTCCGGTGGAGATGCCGGGGGAACCAGCAACTCTCAAGGAGGCCTTGGAGAGTAGTGATGCTGAGGAGTGGAAGAAGGCAATGGAGAGTGAGCTGAAGAGCATTGAGGAGAACGGCACGTGGGAATTGGTGGAGCTACCGGAGGGGCGTAAGGCGATTACGTCCAAGTGGCTCTTCAAGATCAAGTCCGACGCCGACGGCAAGATCGAGCGCTACAAGTCTAGGCTTGTGGCGAAGGGGTACCAGCAGAAGGAGAAGGTGGACTATAAGGAGTTGTATGCTCCTGTGGTGAAGCCGACGACGCTGAGAACCCTACTCGCGGGAGCTGCCATCAAAGGATGGGTGGTGAAACAAATGGATGTCACAACGGCATTCCTCAACGGCGTCCTCGAGGAAGAGATTTTTATGGCGCAGCCAGAGGGGTTTGATGATGGTAGTGGCAGAGTTCTGATGCTGAAGAAGGCCCTTTATGGACTGAAGCAGGCCCCTAGGCAGTGGTACTTGAAGCTGCGAGGAGTTTTGGAGGAGATAGGCTTCACTCCTTCATCCGCCGATCATTCCTTGTTTTTGCTTGGCGAGGGGGAGCAAAGGAGTTTCATGGTGGTTTATGTGGATGAAATCCTCATTTTCTCACCCTCCTCTGACCTTGTGAAGGAGGTGATGCTGAAGCTTCAAGACAAGTTCAAGTGCAAGGCCCTTGGTGACGTGAGCTTCTACCTTGGGCTCCACATCGAACGAGATGTGGAGAAGCGGTGCATGCGGGTGCATCAACGAATGTACCTGGAGGCATTGGCTGCCAATTTTGGGCAGAGTGAAGGCCATGTGGCTACACCCTTTCCCTCTGGGTTCAAGTGTGTGAAGGGACCAGAGGAAGAGAGCGTTGGTGAAGAGGAGAGGCGCTGTTTTCACTCGTTGGTGGGCAGCCTCATGTACGCAGCGGTAAACACACGACCGGACGTCGCGTTTGCTACCGGACAGTTGGCTAGGGTTGTTCAATGCCCTAACGAGGAGCAGGTAGCAGCTGGAATGAGGGTGGCCAAGTATCTTGGCCAAACACCGACCGTTGGGCTACAATACTCGGCGGCGGCACAAAGGCGCCAAAAGGGCGCGGATGGTGTTGAACCCGGGCGTTTGTTCCTCACCGCATTCTCGGATGCTTCTTTTGCATCAGAACCAGAGGACATGACAAGTGTTGGAGGGTTCATTTGTTGTGTTGGTGGAGGCCCAACTGCTTGGGAGAGCAAGAAGCAGGTTGACCAATCTTTGAGCTCGGTGGAGTCCGAGTACATGACACTCTTCCGTGCCGTACGGGAGATTGTGTGGCAGCGGCGTTTGTTGGCTGAATTGGGGAAGGAGCAGCAAGGACCTACCCCACTGTACTGTGACAGCCAGGGTGCCATTGCTCTTGCTAAGAACCCTGTGTTGCATGGACTCACGAAGCACATGAGGGTGAAGTGGCATTGGACGAGGAGCATGGTAACCGCGGGTGAAGTTGAGTTGCGCTACGTGAAGACCACGGGGCAGCCGGCTGACATGATGACCAAGAGGCTGGTGGAGCAGCAGCATTGGAAGTGTTGCAAGCTGGCTGGGATGGCTCTGAACTGAGAGAGCAACATATCCTAAGGCCAACAATCCGAGGGGGAGTTTGTTGGTGCAACCCTACGGTTTGCACTCGGCTTGTTGTCCGTGTGCGTGAATGTGTGTGTGTATGGAATGGTATGAGGGCATGGGATAATATATATTTCATGCTTATAATTGTGTGTGAATGTTGAGTCATGATGTCGAGTGTGTGTGTCGAGTCAATAGCGAGTTATCGCTAGACGCGTGTTACGCGGTCGTTTGTGTCTCGCGCGCGGTTTCTATTTTGTCGTGCGCGGTTTCTATTTTGTCCTGTGTCGAACGTTCGGCGTGTCGCAGGTGTGTGCAGCAGACCCATCAAGAACTCAAGGATGAGTTTGTGATGAAGAGCCCAGCCTTGGTCTCAAGCCTCAAGTGATTTCGAAGCTCGCCAAAAGGGTACACCTCAAGATATTGAAGATAGTT